TCGTAAAGTTATAGGAGTTCAATACTGCGAGTATTTCGTTTCACCTCCCACTCCGATCCTTCGAGACCGATTGGGGTGGCGCCTGAGCGAGAGGTCGATTATAGGGTGAGAGCATGGAAGGGATCGCTATAACCAAAGACGGAGACTGTGAGCCCTCTTTTTCTAGTGCGAGAAAGAGAGAGAGAGAGAGAGAGAGAGAGAGAGAGAGAGAGACAGAGAGAGAGAGAAAGAGAGAGAGAGAGAGAGAGAGAGAGAGAGAGAGAGAGAGAGAGAGAGAGAGAGAGAGAGAGAGAGAGAGAAAGAGAGAGTTATAATACTAAACAATTTGAAAAGGTGGGATCGGAAAAGCTGGAAATGAAAGTGAGTCTCGCTAAGAGTGTCCGTGCTTTTATGCTTCGAATCAAAATCGCTTCTGAGATGATGGATCGATGTCCAACGACATGAAAGAGAATACATCTCTGCCATTAGAATATATTCCAAGGGGAAACGAGTTAAGTACGCCTAATCCTATCACATTTCTCCTTTCTTTTCTCACCGAGTGTGCGTGAGTAGGAAAGCGGTTTAAATATTACAGGTGGGTTGTGATTTTGAAAAATGCAAGGCGTTGTGAATTGCTTTTACTCAACTAAAAGTGCTGGCAACGACGCATTTAAGATCTCTCCAGCATTAAATGTCTTATGTCAGATATATCTGTTTAAAAGTACAAAACCGTGCATTGTGATCGTTACTGAATACACTTTAAATTTTGTAAACTAATATTCTGTTCAATGTATTGCATGCAGCATCCTTGTTAAACCATGCCACTTCGATTTTACTAGTGTGGGAAAGAGAAAGAGAAAGAGATAGAAAGAGATACAGAAAGAGAGACCGACAGATAAGTCGTCAGGAAGGAAGGGAAAGAAAGAGACCGAGAGAAAGAGCGATAAAGACAGAAAGATAGATAGACAGATAGAAAGAGAGAGAGAGAGAGAGAGAGAGAGAGAGAGAGAGAGAGAGAGAGAGAGAGAGAGAAGAGAAGAGAAGAGAAGAGAAGATATATATATATATATATATATATATATATATATATATATATATATATATATATATATATATATATATATATATAGAGAGAGAGAGAGAGAGAGAGAGAGAGAGAGAGGGGGGGGGGGGGAGAGAATGAAAGCAAATTTCCTCTTATTTTGCCTGCTTAAGTAAGTTCATTCGGAGTAAAGTCCCTGGTTCTGAGTAGTCAATAAGTTCCACACTAACATCAACAAAAACAAAATAATGCCCTGCAGATGGAACCTTTTGACTACGAGCCAGCGTTCTTTTGTTTTCCCTTCCCTTTCTTCTCCTTCCCTCTGAATCCAGTACCGTCGGCTACTGGGTTTGAAAGCGAGAGACAGGTGCACTCAAAGTGGCATGACTAGACCCTCTTATAGTGTCTTGTTCTTTTCTCTTGTTTACTTTCTAAATAAGAGCTCGTTAACAAGGAGGATCTAAAACAATAACAAGGTACAGTACTCCACGTCCAGTGTTTTATACGCTCTATTTAGCCATATTTTTGTTGGTGAGCCTCTCCTTATATAAAATAATATTCCAACACACAGCTACTGAAGTTGGCTATCGAATTGAACTGGCACAAGAAGAAGTGCAAGGTTTGTGTAACGGTGAGGTTTGAATAGGCTTTACACTCTTTCTGGAATATTTCCTTTTGACTAGATGTCCAAATGGGGGAATAGATTCTCCACAATCACTATGTCCTATATAGATCTTATGTTCTGTAGCAGCAAAAAACAGGAAGAAGGAGAAGAAGATGAAGAAGAAAAAGAAGAAGAAGAAAGGTAACAACAACAACAACAACCAACAACATCATCATCATCAGCAACAGCTATAATAAAAAAGCAACAACAGCAGAACCCCAAACCACATAATTTATACTCCCCCCCCCAAAAAAAAAACCCCCCAAACACACACACACACACACACACACACACACACACACACACACACACACACACACACACACACACACACACACACACACTCTCTCTCTCTCTCTCTCTCTCTCACACACACACACACACACACACACACACACACACACACACACACAACACTCCAACCCCCCTCACTCACACACAGA